GACCCATTCTTCTTGCAAGCGAAAAGAAGGCCGGATTCGTCGACCGCATTTGAAGGAGTCTTCAAATTGGGACAGGCCTAATCGTGGCGCTGTGACGTAACCGGCTGACGAAGGATGCAGCCCCTGAATTGAGACACAGCCATAAAGTCTCTGACAAGCTAATCTACATGAGATAGTGGCCAAGGTCTTTCATGCACTCTGTTCATCTGAACTGCTTCACCTTTGTTACCAAGCAAAGACAAGAACTATTGTGATAAATACATAATCAACAACGTTTGTTATTACCAATAATAATGTGACCCCAATGTTCAATCAATCTGTGAAAGGACAATGTTATTACTTGATATTCTAATCCTGTGATCAGTAGTATTTTACAAGTTATTATGATCTTGGACATTTGCACTAGACAATAATGACACGCAATGTTAAAAGCCACACGACACATTTCCTTTTGTCTGACCCAATCAGAACCATAGTTTCTGGCACGAGGCGTGGTTTTCTGAGGTGTTTGTATAAACCCTCTTTTGCATTTCAAATTCTGATTTGCCAGTAAACCAAAATATGACAATTATAAAAACGATCCCACGCCTCCTTTACTTTAGTTCAAAGCGCTCTAGAGAAGTCTCTGACAGGCCATCCGGACTTCCTCTTCAGCCATAACGAACCTCAGACACACACACCATCATTACTCACGTCTCACTCCACCTTAGTCCATCAGTACATAGAGTGTTAAAGTTAGTCTTGTTTAAATTGTGTAGAAATAAATTTCTTAACTATTATAAACCTGACTCTCTCTCTTTCCTTGGAGTTAATACAAAGTGTCGCTTAATCCCTGCAATAAAAAGTTCAGATCTTCTGGTTAAAATATTCAAAGATCCATCAGATTGATATTTCATATTTCTATGGAATCTCACATTTTATGGTTCATAAGTAAGATGTAAACGACTCGTTCTTTACAACTTATTTACAGATCAAAACCAGTATGGGCCAGTTATGTACGGTTAAAGCAGGATTAATCTGAGTGACTCTTCCTGAATCATTTATTTAAACTGAGTGAGCAGGAAGTCTTTATCAGTGCAGCTGGATCTGCTGCAGGAGGATCCAGACGTGGCTGGAGGGCTGGAGCAGACCCGTGGCTGGACGTTTCTGGTCAGAGGAACATCATACAGGACGGTCTGCAGAGAGAGCTTTGGGACGCTTCCTCTCACTGTCCACTCCATCGTCCATCTACAAGGACTGCTGGGCTGGCTCAGACGACGGCTGTTACATCTCAAAGATGTATTCAGAAATACGAAATGAGGAGATGGTTTATGGATCCACTGGTATAACAATTGTGACTCTTCAGCAAATAAAACCACAGTGTTGTTTTTAATAGAGTTTCCTACATAAATGACTTGCCTGTTAACAGTAGTGGTGGTCTGCTGGTACCTCCTGCAGGACAGAGCACCACTGACCTCCTCCACACACATCTTCCTCACGCTCATCCTCCAGACCCACAACTTCACCAGCACAGAGGCAGATGTGCAGCACAGTGCATGCTGACCTGTAATAGATTAAAAAAGAGGTTTTTTTTATTGAAAAATGTAAAACAAACCTATAACCTGCAGTACATCGGTTCTGTTCAGTTGAAAGAAAAGCAGCAGGGAATAGTTAAATAAAAACTATAGAGAATTTACATTTTTAAGACTGATCTAATCATTATTAGGCTTAGGTTGAATAAACAAATGCACATTGAAAACAGTTCAATGCTATTTTATTTAAAAGCCTGTTTTTTAAAGCATTCTACCCTCATTTGATGCAAAATAAGAAGTTCTAAGATCCAATTTACATTAGAAAACATCCTACTGCATTCAACATTTCTAATGCATATGGTTTATATTAATTACCTACACAATAATACTCAGTAGTAATGTGTTGTGCACGTTTAACAAGTTCATTATGTAGCTTCAAACATACATAAAGCCATCTAAAGTTAACATGTAAGTCCTGAAAGCTTCTAGAACAATCATAGTTACTTTACCTGAAAACGGTTGTGAACAAACGCTGCTGATGGACGTGAAGCTGCTGTAGCTCCTTAAAGAGCAGGTCAAGTGTGCATTAGAGTCCTTCTCCATCCACGTATCAATTTTAAAAACTGCAACATTAGTAGGCGTTGCCTGGCGGACCGAGAGGATGGAACCGCGGCAATGATGAAGACGATGGGTAACGAGACGAAGCTAGCTTTTCTTTTTCACTCTGAGCAGTCATTAGACGTGGAGGATGTTTCTCCCCTCCTTACCCAGACACTCGAGAAGAAAGGGACCAAGTCTATTTGGAGGATACAAGCGGACCTGAGCCTTATTGTTTTGAGCTTGTGAGTTGCCTGAAACTACCAGAACCAACCCAACAGAACCAGCTCTGAATGGTAAGTAGCTGTGAGCCATAGCATTAGATTAGCTGCAGGGTTTGGCTCCATGGGCCAAGAGAGCTAGTATTCAGCATGTTTAAGAGGTTTATCTGCTTCAACACACCTGGTTTTAATCAGCAGCAAATAGCTGAGCTGCTTAACAGCTAATCTAACATGTTGAAGCCAGAAAAACCACTGAAACGTGCTGGATAGCAGCTCTCCAGGAGCCCTGGGCTCAAGTTACAGTTTGCTGCATAGAAAGTTATGAAAATACCCCATGAGAAAATTATTCTGCAGTGTGTTCATTTATGCTACACAATCCCAAACAGCCCACTAAAGCTGCCCTGATTTCATTATTTATTTACTGATACCAGCTGCTCTCTTGGTCGTAGGTGATCCTCTGGTGTCTGCAGCTGGTCTCCTCTGGTGGGGTCGTCAGGATCAGGAGCTTCCAGAAGAATCTGCCTGAGACAGAGCTGATGGAGGTTCTCAGTCATCGAAGGATGGCTGAAGGCTTTCCAGGAACAGGAGATGTAGTGTTGTCTCTTCTCTCTCTATTCTGCCAGATGAGCTGATAGGTTACAGGTGTGTGAGGACATCCTCATGCTGTCACAACCAGATGACAGGAGTTATCAGGTGATCAGCCAGGCTAATGTGCTCTTATAGAGTATTAACGTGTGCCTGCCTCATGGTGTAGAGTCCATATTTAGCTGAGGGTCCTGCAATAATGCAGGTTATTAGTTAATTAACTTTTGATAGCAAAGAACAAAACATTTAATGTAAAAGTAATTTACCAGGTGAATCAGCTCACACGTCACCACCAAGTGTCAGGGGCAGAATCAGTAGCCTCCTTCATGATGTCATGATGTAATCACATACTTATTTAATTGTTAATATCTTAAAAATCCTGAAATGTTTTAATTTTTTTTACCTTGAACAGTTCACTGAGCTTGCACTGTCACTGAGGTGGAAGCTGGAATCAACAGCAGACACCTCACATCTTGGTCTTTTCAGGGGTGTGGATGCAGCTCTGGGACTTTCTGGAAGATGAATTTCCGTCATGGTCCCTGTGTCACAAGACACACAGTGGCTGTGAGCTCTATTCTGGGTGGCTATGTAAAAAACAAAGAAGCAGCACATTTATAAATGTTTAAAAGAGCATAAAATCACGTGTAACAATAATCTGTAAAACAAATCAAAACTAGAAGGTAATTAAATGTTTACATAGAAGATTATTAAAAATAATTCACCTTTGCTACACCGGTAAGGCTTCACGACAGCCTGGACAAGTGCATTCTTGCAGCTAAATCAGTCTGACAGCCAATGTCTTGGGTAGTTTTAGCCTGAAAAAAATAGAAGCACATTGTTGTTGGAGTTTATAAAGTCAGATAATATACAAAAGAAACTGTCCTATATAGCTGCTTTATAACATTCCTAGTGTGTGATCATTATTATAACGTAAAAGTCAGTCACATATGATGTGAAGAGAGCCTGAAATGCGACCTCCTGAACAGAATTCCTTACAGAACCGGGTCACGCTGTAAAGCTGTCTGTCAACTAGTGCTGCGTTAGTTAGAGCCACTGTTGCACCGACTGACACAAAAACAACCCGAATTTTCTCTGAGCCTGACAGTAAGAGTCATGTGGACCGTTTCGTCTGCCAGGGCTTTGAGATATGTTCCGATTCGCTGCTGATTCTAACCTTACATCCCGTTCCACATTTTGTCAACTTGACAAATTAGCCCAAAGGCAGTGCATTCTGATATTAGCTAAATGAAGTGAACCACGTCTCTCAAACTCTGCAATTAGGTAGGGAATTGTCTTTAGAAGATGTTAAAAGTTTTATTTAGCTTACTCACCTCAGACTGAAGCCCGCCATGGTGGGGGAGCAGAGTCGGTGGGCTGCATCTAAATTGCGGAAGTGCCCACGGCCTCCCTCTTCAAACGGAGACGTGCAGAATAACCCAGTTCAAACTCCATCATGTTGGCGAAGGAGTAGCGGGTAAAATGCTGGTTGCAAACTACAGCAGCAGGCGGGAGCTGACTGTTTTCCAGTACACCGATAGCACGCAATCACTGGCGCCTAATTTCTAAGTCCAGCAGAAAGGAGTGCAACCCCACAGAGCCACCGCAACCATACTACACTACACCTTCTAACCAATCAAGCATATGCTGTCGAGAGCCCACCTGGAGCGGGTACTGCATGCCTTTGTAATTTCTCGGCTTGACTACTGCAACTCTCTATATGCAGGGTTGTGTCAGTCAACACTGCGTCGCCTACAGGTTGTGCAGAACAGCGCTGCCAGGTTCCTGACTGGGACCAGGAAATGGGACCACATCAGTCCAGTTCTGGCCTCCCTGCACTGGCTTCCGATTTGCTATCGCTCACAATTCAAAATACTCATCTTTGTTTATCATTTCTTCCAGGGTGGTGCTCCCCCCTATCTGGCCACACTCCTGAACAGACATTCCCCATCACGCGCTCTGCGCTCCTCTGACCAAGGCCTGCTCGCTGTCCCTCGGTCTAGGTGTCGTACCCGTGGGGACCGGGCTTTCTCAGTCCTAGCACCGTTACTCTGGAACCAGTTGCCACCCTCAGTTAGGCTGTCCCCTTCTCTGCCAGTCTTTAAGAATCACCTAAAAACACACCTCCTCCGCTTGGCGTTTCCAGAACATGCTTGATTATGGCCCTCTATTATGTTGAATCCATTCCACAGTTTTCATTGGTACTCTCAATCCATCCACTCAATCCAATTGTGTCTCACACATTTGTATTTTACCGGAATGTTTCATCTATCTTGTAATTTCCATTTTGTATTTTGTAATTTGTATTTTGTAATTTGAATTTCTTTTATTGTTGATTTATTCAGTATAATTACTTACAACTGTACCATGTTCAGCGCTTTGGGCTTCCTGACAGGGTTGCGGAAGGCGCTTTATAAATAAAGCTTTGATTGATTGATTGATTGTTATACTAACACGATATGGAGCACTAAACCCGAACTACTTTCCTAATAACACTAACAGCTAAACACTAACTAAACTACAATATCCAACAGCCAAGCTAACACTAAATAAGTATGTATAACACTAAAAGCTATGCTAAAGATTAGGATATGCTAATGCTATATGCTAATGCTGAACTACGGCTAACCTCCTACACTCGCTTGCACGCCACAAGGCGTGGCCGAGACTCTCAATGCTTTTATAACTTTGACACAGAGCTGCTACGTAGTACTCTACTGGTTTACGTAGTATCTTACTCTTTAGCCATTGGCTAAAGTGTATTCAAAATGACTCAAACTCTATGTTTTAAGCTGAAGGTGGCGCTGTGCTGTGATATTTAGGCAGAATTTTTAATTTTTAAAGAAAATGCACCAAAATGCTAAAATAATAAATACACACATTTAAAACACTATTAGACACTCATTTATACAGTTTATCAGCAAAAAAAAGTGAATTTAGACTTTACTTGCTCTTTAATATTCCTGCTCGATTTTCGCTAGCTTTAGCATTTTTCCTTTGCGTGTAGCTGCCGCCGCGGCTGTGATGGGACCTACGGGCCACCAGAGAGGTGACGGCTAGACTGTCCGAATTCAGATCCCCTGGGTTCCAGTCTTAGACCGGCGAGGACCCGTGCTCATAAGCATCCCGCCCGTGGATTCGGACACACCCAGAGAGAATCGTTAACTCCAGAACATCCAGAATGATCATGAATAGGTTTGGGCATCAAGAATCGAGCATCGATTGGAACCGGTTCCAACTGTTCATTTGTCTCAGAATCGCCCAACGTTTTTTATTTCAATTCCTCATTTCGACTCCTAGAATGCCGACGGAAGAGGAATCCGCGGCCGATCTCCGTGAAAAATAAACGTGATCTGCAATTTGTGATCAACGCTTTTCAGAGCTGATCACACCAGATGTCTGTCTGCAGCACCGAGTCCCCCCTCACTCCACCCACCCCGCATGCAGCGGCCAATTCTAAACAAACTTTTACTCCGTAAAGTAAACTTTAACTCCTGCAGCGTAGAGGAAACTTGTTAAATACGTCAACACGGTGGATTTAATAGAAGCTTTAAAGAACAAACTCTGGACGGTGTGAGGTGAGTTTGTCTCACTGCAGAAATAAAAACACACACAGAGCGTCAGCAGTCAGGCGCGTGAGCGTCAGGGGGCTGAACAATAACCTGTAGAGTAATTAAAGTCATCATGCTAGAAAAGCTTCTCTGTGGTGGACCACACCAGCTTCTGCCACAATAAATAATTATAATAACAATAATAATGATTCATATTTACTGTGAGCTGGATGAGTTCGTTGCTCTTTAGAACCAGATGAACTCTTTCAGTATCTTTAAAGTCCTTTTGAGACTGAGAACTGAGTAAAGGAGAAAGGTTAAGGGATGAATGCTTCATTCATGTTGTGCTGAAGGGACTAAAAGCTGCCACCGATCCAATAAATGTCAAGGAAACATGTTTTTATTAGGTTATAGGCTGCAGTTAGAAGCGCCTCTGCTAATAAAGCAGTTACATTCCAAGTCACTGACTGGGCTAATTGACACACTCATGGGGAGAACCACTAATTGATTATAGGCCTGTCCTGTTCCAACACACACGGGGCCAGAAGAACTGGACTCAGCCAAGATTCCTCTTTGGACTTAAACGTATTTCACTCAGTGACACTTTAAATACATTAGTTTAGAGGATCTTGAGTTTCTTTGCAGTTCGCTCTAAAAGAAGTGAGGAGCCCCTCTGTCACAAATTCTTTTAACAAAACAAGAAACTGACTTAAATCTCTGCCAAAGAAAGCATAGTTTTATTTTGTTTCCTGCTGCTTGGTGCTTCCCCACAGAGAACACGTCAGTTTACTTCTCAGCCTGCAGCTGCAGTCTGATGGCAGACTTCATTCAGGGTAAAACGTGTCTTCCCAAGCCCAAGCTGAAAATAGCCAGGGCAAAAACAGGCGGCCGTGTGCAGGCGTTACAGACGAGAACGAAAATCAGTTATTAGACTGCTACGGGAACAGACCTGTATTTATGTAGCACCTTCTACAGCTGACTTGTGAGAGACAAAATAAATCAGCGTGATGATCAGAATTCAAGTGGAGAGAACGTGTGCTTCATAAACAAAATCAAGCCATGAACTGTTAAGAGTTCGCCCTGCAAGCAGTGTCATCGTCCATGCCCTGTTTTTAGCTTTTATATAATAAATACAGATCTGATTTTAACCACCTGTCAATACACTACAGTGCATGCAAATACTTATATATCAATAATAATAATGGTCCCTGGCAATCTTCTGCCCACGCCCACGTTCTTGGGTGTGGGTACACATGGTCCATAACTGATTTATGTGTTAAAGGACATTTTATTCACTTTTGTGTGCTTTTGGATTTCTGTGAATTCTCTTCAGACCAGAGAATCTGGTTTCTCATGGTCTGAGAGTCCTTCAGCTGTTGCCAGAATCTCATTTATACTTTTGCACAGATCTGTGTTTATTTGGTGCGTAGAAACAGTTTTATGTATTGTGTGGAATCTGGTACTTTTGCGTAATGTTACTAAAGATGTTTCCCATGGAACATTCTAACTTTCACTCATAGCATGGAATATAGGACCGTTTCTACAAAAGTTTGATAAAAAGGCCCTGGTGGGCTGCTAAGTGCCTCTCACTGAGGAGTCGCTGGTCTGGTCTCTCTATAGTCGAGCCCTGATTGGTGGATTGCTGCAGAGATGGTAAGGTTCTTCTCTCTCCACAGTGGAACGCTGGACCATCACGTTCTTGGTCACCTCCCTCAAGGACCTGTTGTCCCAACACATCCTCACCCCCAGCGCGTCAAAAACAAACGCTTGGTCAGCCCCTCCGCCTCAGACCCCTGACGCCAAAAGTGCCCTTTTTCGAAACTTATGTGCGAAAAGTTTTTTTTTTCCCCCTTTTCTGACCGCAGATCCCAATGCAGCGTAAAACGGACGCGATGGGATGTCCACAGCCAGGGCACCAAACAAGCTCATTGTACCTCACCCTAACCTTATCCTCTTATTTAACCTTCCCCTCACCCCTATCCTAACCTTAACCATCTCGCTAGTGAACACATTAGTGATGTGTCGGTCGCTCTAAAAGTGAAGGGAACGGCGGGAGTCGCCTCGTCATTGGTCGGGTTTGGACCAAGGCAACGCGAGGGGGAGGTTTCAACTACCAAGGTGGACGTTAAAAGTAGAGGGTATGTGTAACCTCCCCCTCGCCAGATGGTATGTTCTAACGTTCCCCTTGGGCGGCAAATACGAAAATTCACAGTCAGAATGCATGGGAAACAAACGCTTGATCACAGTGAGAGTAACGTTGTAGGTAGCAAGAGGGTTGAGG